AGCAACAAAAAGTACTCCGTGAATTGAAGACATTTGTTTATGTGATTGTTAAGTTTCTCCACCACCATCCCACTATCTTCCATCATCTATCCATCCATTCATCCATCCTCTTCCACTTATCCAATTCAGGATTCCAAGAGCCTATCCTAGCTACCATGGGGCTAGAGGGTGTTTATTAATGCAGATTAGACATGTGTACAGCATGGTGTATTTTTTTAATTAAATGTACTTCATTGATCAGAGAAGTGTAATATAACATGCAGAAATGTTTAATTTGCCTTTATCCTCCATTAGGTTTCCAGCACAACTAAGCAGGTCACATTCTGTGGCTCAGTCTTTCACCAAAGAAGTGATTCTCTTGCCAGACCATCTAACTACACATGTGCCAAGGCGTAACAAAAAAGCTTGGCTTTTTGAAAATGGACATATAAAATCTGCACTGGAGTTTAGCTGTGACTGGGACTCAGACAAAGTAATGCAGGCAATAAGGACTGCCTTCCAGCCAGTTGTTGAAGGATGCAGGTAAGCATTAGATCCTTTTTTATAAAAATAAATAAATTTTTTGTTACTTAGATTATTATACTATTAAAGGTCAACTTTGGGTATTTCCAAAAAGGATCTGGGAGCACCGATCAGATGACTGGATTGATATCTTTTAGAGTTAACAAAAATTAAGCCTTTTAATGTATTGTATTGTATTGTAGTCTGTTAGCCTTAACAAAAATTTCATATACACTATGTTTTCTTCCTCCCCTAGGCTACAGATTTTGCTGGCATGCCACACCAAACTAGTTGAGCCATCACTCACTTCCAAACAGACTTTGAATGGAGACCTTGTGAAAAAACTGTTTCATCAGAAGTCAATTTATGTCAGACCTGACAAGGTCATCTTATGTGAGGACAATGAATCAGTAAGTAATCCTGATCATTTCAGCAAATGTATGTATTTTCATAAAATGAGAGTGAAAAAGGCAAAGATGGATTTTAAACTCCCTTAAACATTGTCACTTGTATTATGTTTTAATACATAATACATAAACATATTACTAATATTTATTATGACATTTTGTTGTCAGTATAATGAAATGTATTATCTGTTTTAATTTACAGACATATTCTGATGGAGAGAGTAGCCATACAAGCAGGCAGGATTTCACAGAAACGTTGAATTCTGACAAATGCGGTAAATATTCCTATCTAAAAGTCGCTCCAAATAAACTGTAAATTAAGTTGGTTCAGTGTCTGTTACTTAGTCATCTTAGCCATTGTGTCTTTAGTTAAGTGTCAAGTCTTTGTTAAAATCATATTTAAATTTAGTTTAATATTTTGAGCAGGAAGAAATGTACTCCTAAATACATGAAAAGCAAAAGCTATAAATGTGATTAGATGTTATTCAAAAGTTAAACTACTGTTCTTTGTGTTCTCACAGTTGAAATTTCTAAAGAAGTTCCCTCAGCCATTCCCATTGTTAACGCACAGTCCATGTCTGTTGATGATGAGGTCATCTGGTGCGTTGCTACCCAAGATGTTTGTACTGTTGAATCTTCCATCTCTGCTGACACCCTCACAATGTCCACCAATCCTGCTGTCGTTGCTACTGATGAGGATGAGCCTTACTCCAGTGGAACATCTGCCTTTGTCAGTTACAACACACCTGGCTTATCAGTGGGTTCTTCTGCCAGTGTTACTGGTGACACACGTGTCTTCTCTAGTAACACCTCCAGTGTGTCCAATGGACCTACCCAGCCAAGTTTATCCAGCACATCCTACAGGTATGTGTTTTGTACATGTTTGTATCTTTTAATCTTTTGAGCTATATTGTGCAAAAGTCATGACCCACCCCTGCTTTCTTTGTATTTTGCTGGAAAAATAGGAAAGAAGCGCAGTGATTTACTGAAGTCTACAAAATTCTGTCTACAAACAGACATAGAAGCGCAGTATATTAGAGTAGAACAAAACTTGTAGAATTTTAATGAGCTTAAAATTCAAAATGTGATATGAGCTACTTTAGTCTTCAACATAGCTTGAACTCTCTTAACCAAGCTTTCTTGATGGCGATGTCTTCTTTTTATTGAATTTCTTTAAGCATGGTTCAGGAATAGTTTTCCAGGCTTTTTGTTCTGTTCTCTGTCAAGATGATCCCACACAACTTTAATAATGCTGAGGCCAATCTATGTATTGTGATAATGTAATTATGTCAACATCATTTATATGTAATTTAACTTGCAGTACATATCTTGGCCTGTTTGAGGAAGAATACCTGTCAGATGACCCCGACCTCCAAGAAGCCATTTCAAGGTCTTTAGACTCAAGTGCAAGTGAAAGGTCAGTACAACACAAACTTTTACATGTTGAAAGGTCAACATATTAACCATTATTTTATGTTTGTTGCGGAAAAGGAGTCATCTACTGTCTAGTTTTGGATCAGTTTGAATAAGCAAACTACGAACTGCAACCTGTGATTTCTGTTGTCATTTGAAGATTACCAAGGCTATCAGATTACTTATATTTTACTTGATATATGTTTTGGTTTATTTTTACTTTTTTGAATGGAGGTTGGTTGTCAGTGTTGGATCTTGTTGTTTTTCTTGTTCTGCTTGTATTTATATAGTGTATTTATACTATTTATAAATACTAGTGTATTTATGACAAGATAAAAATGTAAACTTAGTTTAACTTAAACTTAATCTTTTTCCATTATCACAAACATTCTTGATTTGTATCTCTTTTTGTTAAATATCAATTACAGTCTTAAGAATGGTACATCATTATTCTGTTGGTGGGTTATTGCCATTGAGACTAGTATATTTCTTTACTGTTTTTTTTTTGTGTGTGTGTGTATGTTTCAGTGACGTCCAGAGCTTAGAGAGAATCTTGGAGCAGATTGTTACTAGAGTAAATAATGACAGCACTGTACGCTTCAACATCATAAGGCGAAATGTGTGGGATGGAGCATCCAGAGCCATGGGCAGATCCAATTTTTCACCAGAGAAAAAAATAGATGTGAAGTTTACTGATGACTATGGAATATCTGAGGGTGCTGTTGACAATGGAGGACCTACTCGGGAGTTCTTCCGACTTTGCCTCTGTGAAGTCAAGGACAAACTTGGCATCTTTGAAGGTCCACCCAATGCTAAAGTTCTTACGTGCAATTCTAAAGGTACTTATGATTTTATTAATTGTTGCCATTTGATTTATTTTACATCAATACATTATACATCAATTGGTTTGTGATTACATGTACGAGTTTAGTATCTCATACAGTTAACTAAACACATTTTTTTGGCAATGACAGAATTTTTGTACCACCACAGAGGATTTAAAAAATTAAACCTAGATTGACTGAAGGGAAGATTGTCTGCTTTAGTTGAAAGGTTTGAAACAGTACTACATATTTAGAAATTCTGGTCATTTTTATACATGCTCTCTCATTTCTCAAAAGTAATTATTCAAATGACTGATATGGTGTAATTCAACAATCAAGAGATGCACTTATGAATGGAAACACAGATGTTTTACAACAAGGTGCAATAGTAAATAACTGGAAGGACTTTGCCAGAAAACATCTAAAAGAACTATGCTATACTACTATGAAGATATGGACAGATGACACCAAGATTAACCAAAATGATGGAAGGAGAAAAGCATAGTAAAGAAAAGAATAGCTTAAGTCACACATGGTGGAAGCAGTGTTATGACACGGGCATGAGTAGCTGCCATAGAACCAAGCCACTACTGTTGTCAATGATAGCACTGGTGATTTGTGAAGTGTAAAGGGCAATCTGTTCAGATTCAGCCAAATGCAAATGCTAAATTGATTGGACAGTGTAAATTGATAATAACCCAAAGCATAACAAGCCAGCTCAGTTACCTGATCTGACTGTAAGGCTGTAAAGAATTGTAAAGAATTTTAATCCTTGTATTAAAAATAATACATAAAATGGTGTTAGCTTTCAATCACTTGTCTAAAGCAACCATCTTTAAAGATGGTGGATAATGTATAAAATTGACTGTAATTCCTAATCAGCTGGTGCCATTTTTTAATAAAATACCTCGAAGGAATTGCACTTTAGTATCATCTTGATTGTTTGGTATTAAAATCCAAGGTGGTGGTGCACAGCAAAATTAAGATGATTTTGTTATTATCTAAACTATTATGGGTGCAACTGTATGGGCAATATTTTTTTCAGAAATAATATTTGGTAACTTGTACTACAAAAAATGCCACAGTAACAAAAATAATGATGCAAGCTTTTGAGATGATATTTTATTTTATTTGTTAACAGCAATGAAAGATAATGGATACTACTATGCTGGCCAGATCATGGCAATGTCAATTGCCCACGGGGGACAGAGTCCATGTTTCTTGTCTGAACTCTTCTATGAGTGTCTTCAAAAGGGTCCAGACAATGTAAAAGTCAGCACTGATCATATTACTGATGAGGAAACAAGGTCACAAGTGCAGTCGGTGAGCATATTTTCCTTTGGTTCTTTCAATTTCATTGTAGGTCTTTTTTTGCTTGTCCAACATTTTTACTAACACTTCCCTAATTTTTCTTGCCCGAGTCCTGCACCTTTCTAGTAAAAGATCAAACATTTTAATGGCTACAAGAAGGAAGAACTAAAAATGTGTGTTGCAGGTTATGGTTCTGTTGGTTACTGCCCAAGAAACTCCAAGTTTCAGTTTTCAGAATTTAATGATTGCACTTGTTTTCCAGCTTAATAACTTATACCTCAGCCTCCTGATCAGTTATGGGGTTTCATAGGGTTAATGTACTAATTAAACACTGAAGCTATTAGTTTTGTATGTTCTACTAAATAGTAGAGTCAAATAATTCATTTTATAATTTCCTCATATTGTTTTTAGATCATACAGGCCGAGAATGATCTACAGCTGCAAGATGCAGTTGCACAGGCAGCCAGCTTGATCAGTCTTGCTGGTCACAATGTTTGCATAACACTTCAAAACAAACAAGAAACTGCTTTGGATCTGGCTCACAGGTATGTCCTTCAACGGACCCGTGCACCTTTTGAAAGGTATGTCTAAACACATACTGTAATGGTAAAAAATTAAGCCTGTCAAACTAAAGTCACTGTGTTGTGAAACGGGTATTAGCCTGTTTGGGTGGTACAGGCCTGTAGCGCTCCATGCTAGTACAGTTCATAACAAAACAGATATCTTTCATTCATGAAATTAAAATTCACATAAAACGTATCTGTGCCGATGTAGGCATGTGTTTAAATATGTAAATAAAAATAGATTCAAATTGAGTAGCATTTGGGTTGATTGTAGACTGACAGAAAAGGTATGCCAATGGAACAAGAGACCAGATGTATTTGAAAGCAATTTGTCACTTTTACTCCAATTCATGAAAGGTCCCTGTGTATCATATTTCAGCTCAGTTGTTCCATGTATAGGCATTCTTTATCTGTATCTAAGACAGTCTGGCCCTGTAAGGGGAAAAATGTTCTTCACCTCTGATACAGCAGTCCACAGGAAAGTAAAATGTAATTAGTTCAGAAATGTCTCTTGATAAAACCTCAAAACCTCTTGTTATGATACAGGTTCCAAATCCAATCAAATACAAATATAATAATAGTAATATAAAATACAATTTGATTTTGTTTTATTTTGGCTAGGTTCAGAGATGGCTTGAGGTCTCTAGGTGTCCTAGATGCTCTACAGACATACCCTCTTCAGATGAAGTGCCTTTTCGTGAAAGCTGGAATGGCTCTCAGAGCAACTGATATGGAGAATCTATTCCAGATCATTCACTCCGAACGAGGGAGTAATGCATTTCAAGATGAGTGCCGGACCCTGGCTTTCTGGCAAGACTATCTTCAGGAGGCAGAATGTGAGTTTAGTACTTGGCACATTGTTTGACCATAAATCAAAATTCTCACTTTTGTGCAGCAGCATCATGAAATTACAGACATAGATGCCATAACAAAAAAGGTAGATAGATAGTACTGATGCAAGTGCTGGGTTTACAAAGAACATTGTATCCAAATGTGATTTCAGTTTGACTTCAGTGTATTAACAGGATAAATAAATAACAGGATAAATAGGAGGATAACTAAATAAATAAATTATTACCAATCCTGTATACTGAGTACAAATAATAGGCTATTGCTGCATCCACGTACATTTAATATGTTGTGGTCTCCACTAACTTCTTTTTTTGACATTGTGGTTTCACTGTATAGCCTAAATAAGCTTCATGTGTGTCTTTCAAATTACAGCTTACTTTTAAAAATATATACATGTTTCACTTTTGATTTAATCTTTTGGTAATTTAATGTATCTGTACATCAGTAGTCTTAGTCAGAATATCATTATGATTTTGTATTTTTCTATCTTATAGTTGAAAATGATGTCTCTTTGGAAGATATTCTTGTTTTCTGCACTGGATGTGACAGCATACCAGCCCTGGGTTTTTCTCCAAAGCCAAGCCTTGAGTTCGTCACTAACTGCAGATTTCCAGTGGCCAATACTTGTGAAAATATCCTTCGTATACCAGTTCATGCAGTGTACACTACTTTCAAATCAGACATGGATTTTGCAATACGGAATTCACCAGGATTTGGAAGAGCATGATGTGTTTTCTTAAGGATTGGTGACATGATGAGGATTTGGGTTTTTTTCTATTTTGCATATGCATTTTTTATTTTCTTGTTTTTGTTAATGTTGTTAACCCCGCATCAGAGTACACCCTGGACAGCAGTAGGACTGTATAGCCTAAATAAGCTTCATGTGTGTCTTTCAAATTACAGCTTAAATACCAGTTCATGCAGTGCACACTACTTTCAAATCAGACATGGATTTGATAAGCCGAAGAGAATGGATAGAATAATTTTGTTTCAGTTTATACATGTGAGGCATTTTTTTGTTTTTGATTGTAGTTAATTTGTTTTCCTGCTTATATGGCATGTTTTGTCTCTGGTATGACCCATAGTAACATTACATTATTTAGCACCCCTGCAGTGAGCAAAATAATATGCCACAATCTCATTGTTATATAGAATTAAGTTTTCTCAAATGCTTCCTGTGTTCAACTATTCCACATAATGTGAATTTTCAAATGAGATGAGTTAAGCTTTATTTCAGTGTCCCATTTGAACATTTATGCTTTACACAGAACTTTGTATTAATATCATTTAACTTTTAGCTTAACTCACAGGTTTAAAAATGTTTTTGTTAGGTTTTGGTAAAGTTTTGAAAAGTATTACAGTAACCCTACATACTAAAAGGTAGAAAGACAGTATCTCCAACACTGGCAGCAAAGTTGTCTATAAATGTGACAGACATTGGTTTGGTCAAACCTGGTTATGTTACAGGTTGAAATATGAACATTATATCACACTATATGACATTACAATCTTATCAAATTATTATATATTATCAAAGTATTATAAACAATAATAATAATGATAATGATAATAAACATAACCTGGTTTGCAGGGAGCGTTTTAAGGATTTTGTTTGCATATTTTACTATACTACTTGATAACACAGGCTCATTGTAGATTGTTTGGGGTTTTTTTCCTCTTTCATTTTGTTTTTTTAAGACCAGCCCTATTACTGCAGAATATTATTTCCTTCCCATGGGTACTGGAAATACACAAATAAAGTGTTCTGTGTTTCTACTTTTTATGTAATTTGTGTCTTTAAAAAAAAGTTTAAAGAGTTTAAAATGTATAACATATTTTATTTAATGAATGAATCATAATTCCTGTTTATTAACAGATACATTAGTACATCATACGATCATATGTAACATATACTGTAACATTTTGTACTGTGACAAGTATGGTTTGTCATGAAAGAAAAGTGTAGTCTAAACACTTTATTTGTCTACTTTTATGATTTAAATGGCACAAGTGAATATGAAGATAAAACCAGTCTTTTTATCTTACCTTTCTTTTACCTAAATAATAGTCTTGGACCCTTTTCAGTATCATGATATTTCACAATTTTTAGTGTCTGGCACTCAAATAAATTTTTTAATTAACAGAAACAAATTTACTAATAACTTAACTGAAGCATGCGGCATGCTGTCAAAAAAACTTCTATCCCATGATTTCCATCGTCACTCAAGGGGTCGATCTGCCTCAAGTCAGCCGTCAACTGCTGGTGATGGTAAGAACGATGTCTGAAGTGCACTTGACTGAGCGGTCTGTGATGCTGAGGAAGTTGCAACATTCCAACAGTCCACAGCTGCAGCGGGGAGTGATTTTCCATTGTCCTTAAGCTGTGATGGTTCCACTGATTTACAAATTCATCCACAGATCTGTTAATTCTTGGAAGATATACATGGTGAAGAGCCCTAATATGAAATGGATCAGTGCTATCTAAAATCCCAACATTTTCCATAAAGAGGAAAAGGTCTTTAAAGTATGCTGACACAACTCTGTTTAGTTCACCCCACAATCTTTCAATTCTTTGATTATGCACACTTCGTCCAACCATAAAGCTTCCTCTGTTTGGCCCTCGATGTTCAATCATAAACCGTGCAATATCAATATTCTCACTGCCAGCATCACCCCTGACACGTTGTGGGAGGCCAAAGAGATCAACGGCACTCTGGAAAAGTTGCATAGCAGTTGATGCTCTGTTATCTGTGCAGCATCTCATGTAGGTAATGCAGCGACTGTAGCCGTCAACTCCTCCATGAAACACAAACCCCCAAGGATTTAACTTATGGTTTGTGTCAATATGCCTGGAATAAGAAGAAATATATTATTATTATGACACTAGATGTACATTAAAATAAAGGTCTATGACTTTGACATTGTACTTCTGTCATGTAAACTATTTCTGGAGATAAACAATATTTTAAACCCAGACATTATACAACATTGTTTATTAAAACACAAACAAAATATTATATTACTACAATGCAGGAAGTAATAATTAACAATCAAATTTAAGACGTGAAAAAAGGCATACCACACTTGATTTGGGACAGTGACATTGTAGACCCTCCGCTGAATTGCTCTCCGTCCTCTCAAAGCTCTTCCCACTGGATCAACTATTCTTAAACGTTCTCGCACTCGCCACCGCTGAACTCTGATTCCTCTTCCTCTCAAACTACCACTAATGTAGGATTCTCCTGAGCCAGGGGTATGTGTAAGAATCTCAGTAATGAGATGATCAAGATCCACATTTGAAATATTATTAAAATTTCCATAGTCCACTAAACCTAGTTGTATCCTGTGGTTGTACAGTGTTCGAACATTTACTGACAACATTTGAGATATGGCCATCCAACTAAACCCCAAGTCTCGCATGTCAGTCAGCTGAGTAGCTGGTATGTTGTACCTAAAAGAGTTAGAAACAAAAGAAGAAATATGTTAACTTCTTTCTTATTTCTTGCATTCATTATCTTGTTTGCCATCTCTTGACTCTTTCAAGTGCCATACACATTATGAATGAATTTGTTTCCATTTTTATCACTTACCTTGGCCTTCCTCTTTGAGATGTAGAATGATATAATGAGCCCATAACATGTGCTTCAGCTTCTGCTCGAAGTGTTAGCTCAGTTGACATCTCCATCAGTGATTGATAAATTCCCTCAAGAAGTGTGCATAATCTTCTCCCAGAAACGTTTTGTTGAACATTATTCATGAGCACTAGAAATGTTGCAATAATGAAAACGTGTTCTTCAAGGTGACGTAGTATAAATTCCAAATTATTTCTACCATTTGCAGTTTGAACAGCTGTCGCAAAACAGTTGTCAAGCTCTAAAAAGTACTGAAATAGTTCAGCTGATGCCATTTTGTAAATGCAGAGAATTCAGAAACACATCATCTCTAAAAATGAGGTTCATACATTCTATATATTCAAGTTTCATTTCATATATTCAAAAGATCATTCTATATATTCAAGTTTCATTCTATATATTCAAGTTTCATTCTATATATTCAAGTTTCATTCTATATATTCAAGTTTCATTCTATATATATTCAAGCTTCATTCTATATATATTCAAGCTTCATTCTATATATTCAAAAGATCATTCTATATATTCAAGTTTCATTCTATATATTCAAGTTTCATTCTATATATTCAAGCTTCATTCTATATATTCAAAAGATCATTCTATATATTCAAGTTTCATTCTATATATTCAAGTTTCATTCTATATATATTCAAGCTTCATTCTATATATTCAAAAGATCATTCTATATATTCAAATTTCATTCTATATATTCAAGTTTCATTCTATATATTCAAGTTTCATTCTATATATATTCAAGCTTCATTCTATATATTCAAGTTTCATTCTATATATTCAAGCTTCATTCTATATATATTCAAGTTTCATTCTATATATTCAAGTTTCATTCTATATATTCAAAAGATCATTCTATATATTCAAGTTTCATTCTATATATTCAAGTTTCATTCTATATATTCAAGTTTCATTCTATATATATTCAAATTTCATTCTATATATTCAAGTTTCATTCTATATATTCAAGTTTCATTCTATATATATTCAAGTTTCATTCTATATATTCAAGTTTCATTCTATATATATTCAAGCTTCATTCTATATATTCAAAAGATCATTCTATATATTCAAATTTCATTCTATATATTCAAGTTTCATTTCATATATTCAAAGTCATTTCTATATATTCAAGTTTCATTCTATATATTCAAGTTTCATTCTATATATATTCAAGTTTCATTCTATATATTCAAGTTTCATTTCATATATTCAGAAGATCATTCTATATATTCAAGTTTCATTCTATATATATTCAAGTTTCATTCTATATATTCAAGTTTCATTCTATATATTCAAGTTTCATTCTATATATATTCAAGTTTCATTCTATATATATTCAAGTTTCATTCTATATTATTCAAGTTTCATTCTATATATTCAAGTTTCATTCTATATATATTCAAGTTTCATTCTATATATTCAAGTTTCATTCTATATATTCAAGTTTCATTCTATATATATTCAAGTTTCATTCTATATATATTCAAGTTTCATTCTATATATTCAAGTTTCATTTCATATATTCAGAAGATCATTCTATATATATTCAAGTTTCATTCTATATATTCAAGTTTCATTCTATATATATTCAAGTTTCATTCTATATATATTCAAGTTTCATTCTATATATTCAAGTTTCATTCTATATATTCAAGTTTCATTCTATATATTCAAGTTTCATTTCATATATTCAAAAGATCATTCTATATATTCAAGTTTCATTCTATATATTCAAGTTTCATTCTATATATATTCAAGTTTCATTCTATATATTCAAGTTTCATTTCATATATTCAGAAGATCATTCTATATATTCAAGTTTCATTCTATATATATATTCAAGTTTCATTCTATATATTCAAGTTTCATTTCATATATTCAAAAGATCATTCTATATATTCAAGTTTCATTCTATATATTCAAGTTTCATTCTATATATATTCAAGTTTCATTCTATATATTCAAGTTTCATTCTATATATATTCAAGTTTCATTCTATATATTCAAGTTTCATTCTATATATTCAAGTTTCATTTCATATATTCAAAAGATCATTCTATATATTCAAGTTTCATTCTATATATTCAAGTTTCATTCTATATATATTCAAGTTTCATTCTATATATTCAAGTTTCATCATTTCAATATCATATTCAAGTTCATTCTATATATTCAAGTTTCATTCTATATATATTCAAGTTTCATTCTATATATTCAAGTTTCATTTCATATATTCAGAATCTTCTATATATTCAAGTTTCATTCTATATATTCAAGTTTCATTCATTTCAATATATTCATAAAAGATCATTCTATATATTCAAGTTTCATTCTATATATTCAAGTTTCATT